GTGGGGGAACGCATGCGAACTGCGCCACGGGGGCCTTCGGTGGAGCTCCCTATGGGGCCACGAAACGCTGCCCTGGGTGGGGGAACCGCATGCGAACACCCCCACTGGGGCCTTCGGTGGAGCTCCCTATGGGGCCACGAAACGCTGCCCTGGGTGGGGGAACCGCATGCGAACACCCCCACTGGGGCCTTCGGTGGAGCTCCCTATGGGGCTACGAAACGCTGCCCTGGGTGGGGGAACCGCATGCGAACTGCGCCACTGGGGCCTTCGGTGGAGCTCCCTATGGTGCCACGAAACGCTGCCCTGGGTGGGGGAAGCGCATGCGAACTGCGCCACGGGGGCTTCGGTGGAGCTCCCCATGGGGCCACGAAACGCTGCCCTGGGTGGGGGAACCGCATGCGAACACCCCCACTGGGGCCTTCGGTGGAGCTCCCTATGGGGCTACGAAACGCTGCCCTGGGTGGGGGAACCGCATGCGAACACCCCCACTGGGGCCTTCGGTGGAGCTCCCTATGGGGCCACGAAACGCTGCCCTGGGTGGGGGAACCGCATGCGAACACCCCCACTGGGGCCTTCGGTGGAGCTCCCTATGGGGCTACGAAACGCTGCCCTGGGTGGGGGAACCGCATGCGAACACCCCCACTGGGGCCTTCGGTGGAGCTCCCTATGGGGCCACGAAACGCTGCCCTGGGTGGGGGAACCGCATGTGGACACCCCCACTGGGGCCTTCGGTGGAGCTCCCTATGGGGCCACGAAACGCTGCCCTGGGTGGGGGAACCGCATGTGGACACCCCCACTGGGGCCTTCGGTGGAGCTCCCTATGGGGCTACGAAACGCTGCCCTGGGTGGGGGAACCGCATGCGAACACCCCCACTGGGGCCTTCGGTGGAGCTCCCTATGGGGCCACGAAACGCTGCCCTGGGTGGGGGAACCGCATGCGGACACCCCCACTGGGGCCTTCGGTGGAGCTCCCTATGGGGCTACGAAACGCTGCCCTGGGTGGGGGAACCGCATGCGAACACCCCCACTGGGGCCTTCGGTGGAGCTCCCTATGGGGCCACGAAACGCTGCCCTGGGTGGGGGAACCGCATGCGAACACCCCCACTGGGGCCTTCGGTGGAGCTCCCTATGGGGCCACGAAACGCTGCCCTGGGTGGGGGAACCGCATGTGGACACCCCCACTGGGGCCTTCGGTGGAGCTCCCTATGGGGCTACGAAACGCTGCCCTGGGTGGGGGAACCGCATGTGGACACCCCCACTGGGGCCTTCGGTGGAGCTCCCTATGGGGCCACGAAACGCTGCCCTGGGTGGGGGAACCGCATGTGGACACCCCCACTGGGGCCTTCGGTGGAGCTCCCTGAACCGAGGAGCTCGGGGCTACGAAACGCGTGAGAGGTGTGCGAGAGCAGAGGCAAGGAGGGGGAGGAGGGAGGAGGGGAAGAGAGGAGAGAGAGGACGCGGGCACCGTCTCTTCAAAACGAGGACCCAACACCACAGGATGGTTGGGAAAAAAAAAAAAAAAAAAAAAAAAAAAAAAAAAAAAAAAAAAAAAAACGCCCCCTCCCCCCAGGGCTCCGTCAAGTTCGCTACCATCGGCGGAAAATCTTTGGTACCACCCTCCCAGGCGTCCAAGGGAGCACCCGAGGGCCTGAAGACGGCCCAGGACGCCCCCGAGACAGCCGAAGAGTGCTCCAAGGCTGTCCAAGCCAGCCCCCCGACGGTCTGGAAGCCCCCAAGAGCATTCAAGATCACCCTAAGAGGCGCCCAAGCGTCCCCCAAGAGCTCCGCGGAAGCCCTCGAGAGGCCACAATCATTGAGAAACAAACGAAAATTCCATGACTTACAGTTTTCTCGCACGTCCGCCTCCGACACGCTTCGGAGGCCTGCGCATGCTCCCCAAGAGAGCTCCAAGAGGCCCCCAGGAGGCGCCCCGAGCGGCGCGAAGTGACCCCAAGAGGCCGCAAGAGGTGCCCATGACGCCCGAAGGGGCACCTCCAGGCCCCCAAAACGTTCCCAGCAGGCCCCCACGAGTTCCCAGGAGCCGCCCCAGAGGTACCCAGCGCCGAGGAGCCGAAGAGGGCCCCGAGAAGGCCTGAGGAGCCCCCAGGAGGCCCCCAGGAGAGCACCAAGACGCCCCCCAGAGGCGTCCCGAGCGGCTCTTGGGGGCATGCGCAAGCCTCGGAAGCGCATTGGTGGCGGAAACGCGAGAACACAAGAATCAAAAATGCCCCTGGGGTTTTACAATCAGTCTGGCCTCTCGAGGGCTTCCCCGGAGCTCTTGGGAGATTCTTGGAGGCCGCTTGGGGCGATTTTGGGTGCTCTTGCTTGGGGGTCTCTAGAGCCAACTTGAAAAAAGGGGATTCCCTCAAATCATTTTTTTTTCGAGGTCGGACCCCACCCCATCCGTTCCCTCTTGTCCCAGGCTTCGGCGTGCCCCGGAGTGCATCTACGTGTTCCCCATCCGACGTTGTCCTTTCTCTTTGATCTATCTTTCCTGCTCCCGTTCCACATCCTTCACTTTGTTGTCCTCCTCCCTTCTTCCCGCTTTTTTCATGTTCCTTCCTCACTCCTCCTCGTTTCACCTTCACACCTTCCTCTCTCCGCCTCCCTTATGCCTTTTCGGATACCCAAAGCTCCAAGACGGCCCAAGAGGTCCCGAGGCAGCACCAAGACAGCCCAAGAGGTTTCCGCGACGATCCGAAGACGACCCAAGAGAGCGCCAAGACTGCCCAAGAGGCCGCCAAGATGGCCCAAGAGGCCTTCAAGACGGCCCCAAGACAGGGGCAAGAGCTGGGATCCAAGCCGACACCTCGAGCGCAGACGCCTAGAGCCCCGGGGAGGCACCCGAGACGCCCGCAAAAAGTCCCAAGAGGTCACCAGGAGACCTCCTACAAAAACGGGAGAGGCACCACCCCCCAGAAACCCCCAAGAGACCTCCAAGAACGTCCTCCAAAGGCGTCCAAGGAGACTCCCAGCATGATGTTGCCAGGCTCTTAGGAGCTCTCGGGCATCCTCCCTTAGGCTGCCCTGGGTCCTCCTCGTGGCTACCTCGCGCGACTTCCTGGAGCCTTATTCAGCGACTCTTGAAGCGTCCATCAGGAAGCACGTTCCCATATGTTGGCCCTTGCGGGATGATGTCCATCCTCATTCGATATTGTGAGGCTGTCTTGGACTGCGCTAGAATCTAAGCGCGCGCGAAACACGCCCGTGTGTTATAGTATCTATATATATATATATATACATACATACATGAATGTATACATACCGCTCTCTCACAATATCTCTCTCTCTCTCTCTGTTCCTCTCTCTCTCTCTCTCTCTCTCCCTCCCTCTCTCTCTCTCTGTCGTTATCTCTCTCTCTCTTGCTCTTTCTATCCCCCTCTCTCTCTCTCTCTCTCTCTCTCTCTCTCTCTTTCTCTGTATATATACGTGTCTCTCCATGCTGACGTGCCAAACTTATAATTACAACCAAAGCTTCACATGTGTAGATGTACATACCATACCATATCATGTCATGTCAGATGCGCCCAGTGATACATCTGTCTCTTTCTCTCTCTCTCTCTCTCTCTCTCTCTTTCTCTCTCTCTCTCTCTCTCTCTCTCTCTCTCTCTCTATATATCCTTCTTGTTATGTCATATTTCCTCCGCCTGTCCCTCACCTCGTGTTTGGCAATGTCCAACATTGGAAAGTTTGTCTGTACTGGCTCGTTGCGCTTTGAGAATCGGACGACACATCACAATGTTGATCGAGATGGGTGCTGCTATGATGCCTGGACGGAAAGTCGACGACGTGTTGAGGCCAGTATGAAAAGATCCACATGGTAGCTAGTATGTGGCCATGGGACAGTGCCAAGGCAGTTCTGGGGCATAGTGCCAGTATGATGGACGGCCTGTGACCTGTCCGCAGTGCAGTTGTACATCGGGCTCGGGAAGGGAACGGAAGGGCTACCGTGGAAGAGCCCAGAGCATCGTGTGCTCATGCAGTGGTCGCCTCGCCGCTGCCGGGCCCACCCCCCGGCGCCGCCGCCGCCTGGCCCCGTTGTGAGCGGGCCCAGCCTCCTCCTGCCTCCCGCCGTCGCCCGGCGCCTCCCCCCCTTTCCCTCTCTGCACGATGGCCCAATTCGCACTAGTTCGTCTCTCAACGCTCCCTCGCCAGCGCCGTCACGCCGCCCAGCCGTCGACGCAGGATGTGTGCATGCAGTTGTGCAGAGCGCCGACGCTCAGCTCCGCGTGCGGGCGCGGTGAGGCCATGCTGCACAGGCGTCTCTAGAGGAGGCCTGCTGCTGCGGCGCGGGAGCCGTGGAGTCGCGGTGCCTCTCGGGAGCCCGCATTTGGACCTCCAGGGGCCTCCCACAGAGGCCTCGCAGGGGCACATCCCTGGACCTCCTCTGAGGCTGCTGGTGCGGCGTCCGCGGCCGAGGTTTTGGGGATGTTGAGCGGGGCAGAGAGCGATGACGAGATGGGAGGGGACGTTGAGCGGTATTTGGGGATGTTGAGATGGGGCGAGACTTGGGGATGTTGAGGCTGAGCGATGACGAGATGGATGGCGATGTTTGGGGAAGTTGAGCGATGACGAGATGGAATGAGGAGAAGGAGGGGGTGAAGCGTCGCGCGATTCTCTAGATGTGCCCTTCTGGTTGGGCCGGCGTCCTTGCACCTGAGAGGTGCTGGCAGTTCGAGCATCCACACGCTGGCCCTAAGATCCGTTTCGGTGCCATCACTCCTCCTTGCCGTCTGTGTTCTTCGCGGAGTGAGGTTCCTGGACGGGGGCATTAAGACGTGCATTGTCCGCAAGGTGGCTTCGAGCTTTTGGAGGCGTCACGCACCCGCACGATTCTAGCTAGGAGGGTCCGCAGAACAAAGTAGGAGGTGGAGGCAGAGGAAGCCCATCACTTTTGCCGCCACAGATACACGAAGCGAGCACTTCAAGTCGTTGGCCCCTTTTGCTCACCAGCCTCATTTCTCTCTCCCTCTCTCTCTCTCTCTCTCTTTCTCTTTCTCAGCCGATGCCAAACACTTCAACGCAAAATCGTGTCACACTTCTTCGCAGCAGCCGTCTGAAACCGCCTGATCATGTGGCCCGCAGCAGTTCTGGTTGAAGCGCGGACTCCTGCGCTTCGTCACTCCGCCGGAATGGCGAGGTGTAGGGCCAATTGGTCCGAGCCCGACGCCGCAGCTGCACTCGCATGTCTCATCTTGGACGAGGAGAAGGGGAACCCGCATCGGCAGCATCCTCTGCCGCGACCGCTGTACAGTGATTCGATTGCTTCATTTCTGCACTTCGATGATCCGGTTCCCAACCAGCTCTACGTCATAGGCGGGCGCAACAGGGACCATGGGCCATTGGACACGGTCGAGATGTTTGACACGTGGAATGGTTGCTGGGTGCAGTGCCCCAGCATGTCTGCGCGACGTGCCGGGTGTGCGGCAGCTGTGCTGCGGGACCAAAGGATTCTTTGCATGGGCGGCTACGACGTCAATGGAATCGTTCAAGGCCTTCTGGCCACATGTGAGGCATTCGACCCCATACAGGAGGCCTGGGATGCGAGCGTCGCAGACATGGAGCGTGCCCGCTGGGGCCACGGCTGCGCCGCCATGGACGGCCTCGTGTACGTGGTGGGGGGGTGCTCGCTGCAGCCTGGAGCACCTCCGGAGGAGACCTTCATGGAGACACTGCGGAGCTGCGAAGTCTACGACCCAGGGGCGAACACCTGGCGACCCACCGCCGACCTCCAGTTCGCCAGGGCAGGCTCGAGGGTGGTGGCGATTGGCACGAAGTACCTGGCGGCGGTCGGCGGCTGCGACGACGTCTTCGGGCGCGCGCAGACGCTCTCCTCCGTGGAGCTGTTCGACATCACAGCCTGCAGGTGGACACTGCTGGACGTGCACCTGACGACACCGAGGACCACCGCTGCGGTCGCGTCGGTGGAGGGCAGGGGCATCCTGGTCATCGGGGGCGCCCCGTCGCTGTCCACGTCGGAGGTGTGCCGTCTACGCGTCCCCGCCGACACAGGAGAAGTGGGCGGTGAGCAGACCAGCGCCCTGGCGGAGCCAGAAGCCACGGGCGCTCTGCCCGCCCTGCACGTGGGAGACATTTCAGAGGGCCGTATGGGTTGCCAGGCGGCGGTCCTTCAGCTACCGGCCCCTGGCGCCAACTACCCCCTTTGCAGCAGGACTTGCGTCGTGGTCGTCGGCGGCGAGAACGGCGAGGAGGAGCTGGAGCAGGCAGACGTGCGGCAGTTCGACAGCGTCCTTGTCTACGATGCGGAGGAGTGCGTGTGGCTGCCAGGGGAGGTCGTCCCGCCGATGCTGGCGCCCCGCACAGCCATGGCCGTATGCGTCGGGTGCGGCTACGTGAGAGGCTACCCCTCCAGGGGGCGTAAGGACGCCTCCGAGCCCGTTGTGACCTCAAGAGGCGGCAGCTAGCTTGGCGGCGCAGCGCGAGCGGCCAGGCCATCCTGGCCCCGCGCGCGCGGCGCTTGCGGCGCCTTCTTCGTAGATGCCATTGCCCCGGCAAACTTCTCGCTCAGTACAGCAGTCGCCAGGCACTGGCGCTTCTTCTCCGAAACAAAATCCGCAACAGCACCCAGCGCACAGCACTGCGGGTTTTCGAGGCATCCGCTTTGCGGGGGCACGGACAGACAAACCGTCAATTCTAGACCTTCGTGCAACCCCACCAGCCCATCCAAAAACGATGCCCAGGCGAGTTGCCTTGATCAGGGATGTGGAGGAGCATGCAGTGGAATAGGAAGCTGGGGAAGTCATGATACCCCAAGAGGGGGAGCGCAAGAAGGAGGAGGAATAGTCGGAGGAGGAGGAGGAGGAAAAGGAGGAGGAGGAGGAGGAGGAGGGCGAGCAGAAGGGCAAGAGGCCTCTTGGGGAGTCTTGGGGGACTCTTAGCGGTCCCAGGGGCCTCTTCGGGCGTCTTGGGCGACTCTGGGGGGCCTCTTGGGGCCTCTTGGGGGCCGCTCGGGCGCCTCTTGGGGGCGTCTTCGGGGCATCTCGGGGCCGCCTGGGCGCCTCTTGGGGCCCTCTTGGGGGCCATGGAGGCCTTCTTGGGAACATCTTGGAGGATATCGATCAAAGAGGGGGGTCCTCAATTGATCTGGCCCCTCTGGAGCTCCCAAAGTCGCCTCTTGGGGCCCTCTCGGAGCGCTCTTGGGGCACTATTCGGCGCTCTTGGGGCCGTCTTGGGGCCATCTGGGGCCCCTCTTGGAGCCCTCTTGGGCCCTCTTGGAGCTATCTTGAGACCTCGGAAAGCCATCGGAAGCGAAAGGGCGAGAAGGTCACAAGCATTGCTTTCTATTAGTTGTTGGACGAATTTGGGCCACTTGGGGGCCTCCTTGGGAGTCTCCGCGGCCACTTGGAGCCATCTTGGGGCCATAATGGGGCCTCTTGGAGGCATCTCGGAGGACATCTTGAGCCAGCTTGGACCATCTTGCGCCATCTTGGACGCCATCTTACAGCATCTGGGGCCCTCTCGGAGCCATCTTGGGGCAAAGGCCTCCCACAGATGCCACTGGAAAGCCAAAGTCCTTCAAAACCCGTGTGTTTTGTCGGGTCATCGTGGATGTCATTTTGGGCTCTCGGAGGTCCTCATGGAGCCATCTTGAGCCCAAAACCACCCTCTGACACCTCGCCGCGCCCCCTCCCCTCCAGGTCCCAGGAAAGGGTGGGGGGGAGGAGTAAGCCACTCCCCGAAGGGAATGGAGGGTGTGTTGGAAGAGGAAACTCCCTAGACCACTTACGCCCTAAAGGGCTGGTGGGATTTCGGACACATGGTCGGCGATCTTGGGCATGCGGCGGTTGGTCACCAGACGCCCCCTTCATCGCTCGGGACCTCCTGATCCTTCGTCTTCCCCTGTCTCGTCGTTTCGTTCTTTTCTTCCATCATCGTCTTCCCTCATCCCTCCTCTTTATTGAGGGCCGTAGTGGTGCCTTGTTGGGAGCCATCTTCGTCCATATTGGGAGTCTAGTGGAAGCTTGTCAACTGTGCCTCGTGAGGCCGTCTTGAATTCCCCTTGGGTTGCTTGGGTCTCTCCGGGACAGTCTTGGGCTCCTCTGGATGCCGTCTTGAGGAGTTGTTTGGATGGTTTCTCGGGGCCGTCTTGGCCCTTCCGGGGTACATATCGAGACCCGTCTGGGTTCCCGAGCCATCTAGAGCCGAAAAGCTTGGAAGCCCAAAATCGCTGAAAACCGAACGGTGTGTCCAATGCGTTGGCTGTCTGGGGACCCTCTCATGGCCCCCTTCGGGATGAGGGGGCCTTGCCCTAAAGGCCTATTGGGGTTGGGGTATTATCGGAATCTCCTGGGGCTGCCTGCAGGGCTCATTTCGATTCCTCCGACTCGATTCGATTCGATTTCGAAAGATTCCGATTCCGATTCGATTCGACCTCGGAGTTCGATGTAGATTCCAGCGTTTCAACGGAATCCTTACTAGCCTGCCGAGTTCCGCCGATTCGGCTTCTCCCAACTTGGCTGCCGATTTCCGACGATCCGATTCATTTCGATCGCCGATCCGATTTATCAATTCGCTTATGGGCTCTCCTGCCTGGAGCCCTCGCGGGCTTCTATTAGAGCTTCCGAAGCACATTGGGGGCCAAATCTTGGGTCGGATGGTTCAGGAAGAGAAGCAATGAGAGGTGTGTTGTTTTCGATGGTTTCGATTGATTGGAGTATATCGAAGACGCCTACGGCGAATCACCGCCGCCCCTTGCCTTCCAGGATACGCCTATGTGGCCAAACGTTTGGGCAAAGTGTTTCCAAGCTATTGGACCATATGTTCCCCCAGCCGTTATGGAAACCCTTCGGGGAACACGTGGGGGAGGAAGAGGAGGATGAGGAGAAGGAGGTAGTAAAAGGAGGATGAGAGGAAGGACGAGGAGACCTCTTGGGAGCTTCTTAGGTCTTGGGGTCTCCTGGGAGCTCCCTGGGAGCCTCTTGGAGGTCTCTAGGGGTCCTCCTTAGGTCTCTTGGAGGCCCTTTGGGGCTCCTTGGGGGCCTCTTTGGGCGTCTTGGGGCGTTCCTGGCCCGTCTGACGCCGTCGGCAGCCGTCTTGGGGGCCTCTCTGAGCCGACTTGCAGCCCTCTTGGGGCGCTTCAGGGCCATCTTGGAAGCCATCATGGGCGTCTTGGAGGCCTCTTGGGCCGTCTTGAGGCCCTCTTGGGACCGTCTTGGAGGCTTCTTGGGCCGTCATCGTTTCATCTTGGAGGCCTTTGGGGCCATCTTGAGGCGATTTGGGGGCCCTCTTTGGAACATCAATGATTTTGGCCTCTTCGGACCCTCCTGCAGGACCTCTTGGAGGCCTCTTGAGCCGCCTTGAAGGCGTTTGGGTGACCTCTTGGGCCGTCTCGGAGGCTTTTCGGGCGAACTTTGAGGCATATTGGACTCTCTTGGGCCGCCTTGGAGGCCATCTTGGAGCCATAAGGAACGGAAAAACCCTGGCCAACCACCGTGCCCGAGCTTTCCTGGTGGCCGGCGCAATGAGCCGAAACCTTAGGGGGAGTTTCCAAAAGAACCGAACAGCTCTAAGAGATCTGGCACGCCAGGCACCCCTGTGATAAATCAACAGGAGGCGGCGGGTCTAACTTCGGCAGATCCCGCCACCATGCCTGGGTTGTGGGTCAGAGTTCTCAGGGATGCGTCTTGGGGTCTCTTCGGAGCGCTCTCGGGGGGCTCTTGGGGCAGTTTTGGGAACTCTTGGGAGCCTCTGGGGGCCTCTGGGGGGCCTCTGCGAGCCTCTTGGGGGACTCCTGGGGCCTCCTGGGGGCCCCTCGGGGCCGAGAGCTCGAAATGTCCGTTCGGGTCCTCCGTTTGAGCCTTGTCTTTGGGGCTGTCTTGGGCGCCTCTTGGGTCGTCTTGGGGCCCTCTTGGAGGCCTCCTGAGTCGAGCTAGGGGGCCTCGACGGCCGTCTGGGAGCGTCGGAAATCGGATCGAAAGGGCGAGAACGCCAAAAATCGTCAAAAACCTGGGGAACGAAAATCCATGGTTTGGACATCATGGGGTCCTCTTGAGAGGCCTCTTGGGGCGTCTTGGAGGCCTCTTGGGCCGTTTGGGAGCCATCTTGGGCGTCTTGGAGCGATCGTTCGGCGACTCGGGGCCCGCTTGGACCGTCTTGGAGGCTTCTTGCGGCCCTCTTGGGCCCGTCCTGGGGCCCTCTTGGGCCCGAAAAGTCATGCGGGAAGCCGCGGCAAGCCCAAAGAGGTTTGTGAATACGGGGTCCGGGCCCCTTCAGAGCTTTCAGGATCGAGGAGTGAGACTCAGGGGATGAGGCAATAGACTTGAGGCCACGCCCACTCCGTGCCCAGCGGCACGGTGGCGGATTAGGGGAGGCCTCTCGTGCATTTCTGGGGCCTCTCGGGGTCGTCGTTGGGGGCATCCTGGCCCGCCATGGAAGCATCTTGGCGCCGTCATGGGCATGCCGTACCCAAGGAGCGGGCGAATCGATGTTATAGTTGTCACGCAGGACCTCGGGGCATCGCAAAATAACGTGTTCTCAGACTGCGCGCTTGAAGCCGACACGAAGCGAGTTGGCCCAACCCCTCGTCTCGCACCACATGACATCCTAAGACTTGCATCACACATCTTCCATCCACCTATGCCACTGGACGTTCGCATTTTTGGAATGGACCTAGAGGGCCGTTCTTGATTTAACACATGGAGTTGATGTGTCAGACGTTACGAGGAAGACACGGCTCGCCTGGCATGGCAAACGCCATTCTTGGCAACCACGTAGTTCGCCGCAATGTTGATGAAGAGCTTCAGCATTGCGATGCGCGTAGGGCGCGCCACACATCAGTCATCTGCCTCCGTATCATATGAATGTTATCTGCTCCCTTATGCCTAAGCTGACTGGTACTACAGACAGTCCTCCACGATTATATTGGGAAGCCTTAAGGCTGGTGCCGCCGACCCTGTGTGCGGGACCTCTCCCGGGACCCTTCCCCGGGACGCCTCCTGGCGACCCCCTCTCTTGGGCCCCCCCCCCCGGCGGGGAAGGGATCCCCAAGGGAAGGGGCGTCCCTTGGAAATATAGCTGAGCTGTTCGGAGCGGGGACGGGGCCACGACTTCTCCCCGGGACCCATCCCGGGGACCCCACGGGACCCGGGGTGGGCGGCATTCTGACCCCGGACCTCTTTCCCCCTATAGGACCCCCCCCTCACCACCAGTGGGGGAGGGATCGAAGGGAAGGGGATTCCCTTCGACTGATTTACGACGTTCCTCAGTTCCGAGCAGCGACGGCAACGACGACGACGACGACGGCGACGACGACGACGACGACGAGTCAAACGGAACAGCGCCTCCCGCACGCCGACAGGGCCAAGCTGACTTGTGTTCCCCAGACAGGCCTCCACGACTGTATTCTTGCACGCCCTATCGCGCAGCTTTTTTGTGGCCTGTCGCAGCTTTTGCCCTGCCAGGGTCCAGAGAAAAGGTGAAAAGGGTGCTGATCATGGCATTGTCTTGAACTCGCGCCAGATCGATCTGCGATGGTCCCAGGACCCAGAATCGGGCGACAGCGCCCAGTGTGAAAACATTGAAACACCAGGATTTCAGGGGAGGGGGAGGAGGAAAAAGAGAAGGAGGAGGAGGAGCAGGAAGAGGAGGAGGAGGAAGACCAGTGCAAACCTGAGACGCACCAACGATATTGCAATAGTCCCTTCCTCCTAGTTCCCTCTTCGCAGGCCCCTACAAGGCTTGTAAGAATCACTGAAACTGCTGCAAACTCTTAAGACGAATGTGCGCGGCGCTAAAGCGGAAGCCACATTTTGGAAACCACCCGCCCTCCATCCGTGTGGTTGTTGCCAATGTTTAAGGCGAGTGTGCGCGGCGCTACGGCCAGAGCCACATGTTGAAAACCACCCGCCCTCCATCCGTGAGGCTCTTGCGAATGTTTAAGGCGAGTGTGCGCGGCGCTAAGCAAGAGGCACATGTTGAAAACCACCCGCCTTCCATCCGTGAGGTTTTTGCAAACTATTCAAACGAATGAGTGCGGCGCCAGGGCGATCACCACAGTTTAAAAACGGCCATCCATCCATCCATGAAGCTGCTGCAAATTTCAAGCTTCAGGATCATGAGCGGTGAGGGAGTACCAGGCGAAACGCACGGCCCGCCCTACCGACACGTTGCGGGGTCCACAGGAAGAATTTACTTAGCCCTCCGCAGTTGCGGATAAGATTGAGGAGGCGGCAAGAACGTCGGCAGTCTGCGAAGCTCTGAAGAAGCCCACCCCAGGCGTTCGAATCTTTCAAAGTATGCAGTCAGCCCGCCGCAGGCGCCGTTTTCCTAGTTAAAGCAGTGCGGGTGGGTCCCAGGGTGGGTCCCAGGGTGGGTCGTGGGTGGGTCGCGGGTGGGTCGCGGGTGGGTCGCGGGGTGGGTGGCGGGTGGGTCGCGGGTGGGTCGCAGGGGTCGCGGGGTGGGTTGCGGGTGGGGGCGGGGTGGGTCGCGGGTGGGCGCGGGGTGGGTCACGGGTGGGTCGCGGGTGGGTCGCGGGTGGGTCGCGGGGTGGGTCGCGGGGGGGATCGCGGGGTGGGTCGCGGGGGGGAAGACGCCACACAACAATAACAACAACATTCATTTTATTTTCATGCGCGATGTTTCCACACGAAGCATGCGACCATCATGATAAGCATTTCCATCATGGGGGACTTTTGTTCTTTAGCGGGGTCCGTTATTCCCATTCCCAGATCTCCCGCCCAATGAGGTCTTGCAAACACCTCCTCCGAGGAATTTCAACATATCCCGCCTCGAACACAAATGCCCGCGCCTTGCTGCGCCGATGCGAGACCGCCAGTGGAGCCCCAGGCACCGCCTTGAGTTAAAAAGGGAGGAAGCCTCGAACGGGAGCCGTGGTTTTGTCGGGACGGGGGCTGTCGGCGGCGAGGAACAGCACCGTTCCGAGGAGAAAGAGAGGAAGCCTCGAGCGGGAGCGTTGTTCTTGTTGGGAGCGGCGCAAATTCAAAAGAGAATAGGGCGCCAGTGCAAGGTAAAACGGGAGGAAGTCTCGGGCGGGAGCATTGGTTTTGTCGGGACGGCGGCTTTCGGCGGCGAGGAGGAGCGCCGCCTTGAGTAAAAAGGGGAGGAAATCTCGAGCGGGAGCGTTATTGTTGCTGGGGGCGGCGCCGATGAGAGAAAGAGTAGCGCGCCAGTCCAAGGTAAAACGGGGGGACGTCTCGAGCGGGAACGCTGGTTTTGTTGGAACGGCGGCTTTCGGCGGCGAGCAGAAGCACCGGCTTTGAGCAAAAACTGAAGAAGTCTCGAGCGGGAGCGATGTTGCTTTTCGGGAGCCAGTTTGGGCGCCCCCCCAAACCGCTCGAGCGTGAGCCTCATTTTCAATGAAAATGTAGCCGGCGTTGGGGCGAGAGCGCCAGGGCGCCTGGGGGGGTCCAACAATAATAATTGTTTAGTAATTAACAACAACAACAACAACAACAACAACAACAACAACAACAACAACAACAACAACAACAACAATAATAATTTAAAGACCGTTCGCCCTTATATGCTCCAGTGTCCAATAACGCGTATTTCCCAAACCCTCGATACCCGCCCTCTTCGTCTTCGATCGAACCCCTTTTAGGGGGTATACCTTTCTTCCCTGCAGGCCGAGCCCCGGCAAGCGGCGGGGCGGCCGCGGACCGTCGGCCTGGCCAGCGGCAGCGCTGATCGACGGGGCGGCCGCGGACCGTCGACCCGACCCCAAGAGGGACGGACAGGGGACCGACCACGACGACGGCGACGACGACGACGACGACGATGACGACGACGACGACGTCGAAGACGACGGCGACGACGACGACGGCGACAACGAGCGAAAGCGAGAGCGACAGAGAACGACAGCAGGGCCACGAAGGGCACGAAGTATGCCACGAAGGGCGACAGCGGGGACACGAAGGGAATGCGTATGGGGCCACGAAGAGCGCGAACGAGCGGGGGCCACGAAGTGCAGATAATGCGGGGCCACAGAAGGCAACTATGGGGCCACTGAAGGTGGCAACTGGGCCACGTAGGACAGTGAGGAGGACACAAATGGCGACAGCGGGGCCACGAAGGGCACGCACATGGGGCCACAACGGGCGCGACTCCTGGGTGCCTGGGTGTCAGGAGCGCGGCGCTTGGGCAAATTGCAAGAAATTCCAACGCAAGGCCATTCTTCAGTAAGTTGCAAGCAAGTCTCCAGCGAGAGCGCGACTCCAGAGCGCCGGGGGAACGATTCCTGAATAAATTGTAAGAAAGTCCCAAGCGAGAGCGCGATTACTGAATAAAATGCGAGGAAGTCTCGGGCGGGAGCGGGGGTAAGGAAGTCTCAGGCGGGAGCCGTTGTTGTTGTAACCCGGGGGCCAGGGGCCCAGTTTGAGCAGGAAGACTTTCTTTGTCAAAAAACAGGGTGCGAGCGTCGAGGGGCACACTTTGATTGAGAAAAACAGTATGCACCGGTGGGGAGGATCAACAATCATTATTCTTCAGAAATGAGAATCCAACAACAACAACAACAACAAACACAGTAAACCAACCAACAACCAAAACAATAACCAAACAACAAGCAACCAACAACTAAACAACAACCGAACAACAACTGAACAACAACCAAACAACAACAGCAGCAACAACAACAATAACAGTATCAACAACAACAACAACAACAACAACAACAACAACCGAACAGCAACCACAACCACAATCACAACAACAACAACAACAACAACAACAACAACAACAACAACAATCCGCATCGCGGAATCCCACTTCAGCCACGCACCCAGGGACAGTGGATGACCGTTCGGTACCCTCACTCTGATTTATGAAGGAGGGGGATGGAGAAGGAGGAGGAGGAGGAGGAAGAGGAAGAGGAAGAGGAGGAGGAGGAGGAAGAGGAGGAGGAGGAGGAGGAGGAGGGGGGCCCCATCCCCGTTTCTTCGTGCCGCGGCCGAACTGCGGGGGCAGGGCTGCTGTTTCGGGCCGCGTGTAGTGGTGCGGGGTCTCCGCTCGTGACACGAGGAGGAGCGGTAAGTGCTGCTGCCCCGGAGCCTGACTCCCTTGGAGGTCCACTTGTGGAGGCCCCGGGGCGCCTGGCCAGGACCAAAAAGCGTCCAAGAGGCTCCCCCCTCGGCGCTCGAGGGTCGAGGGCAGAACGCGGCAAGAGGAGAGCGACGTCGCCACGGCGAGCGATGCGGTCGGGAAGTTTGGGGACAGTCTGTGGCTCCGCTGGTTCTGGCCCATCACTCTTCGGCGCGACATGCGATCCACGTCAAAATTCTCTAGGCCTCCTTGATGGAGTCGGAGTAGATGGGGTCGGAGGATCGCGCCGCATCGCCGATGCATCGCGGTGCGGCTCGATGTGCAGTCCGATTTGCTTCACGTGGACGTCCCCGGTGCGTCGCCGACGCCGACGGTGCATCACCGGTGCATCGCCGATGTATCGGCGATGCGGCGCGATCTTCCGACCCCATCTACTCCGACCCCATCCAGGAGGCCTCTAAGTTCCCAAGCGTCAACGCCCCGAGCTCTGCCGAGCCTCCCGCCCCGCAGAGCGGAGCGGCACGCTATCCACTCGCAGGGCACGGCGTGTCGCCGGGGCCGCCGCGGCGGCACGCCCTGCAAGAGTGCGCCCGGCCGCTGGCACGGGGCACAGGCCATCGCGAGTGCCACCAGGCGTGGCAGGGGGGTGGCTGCGCTAGGCGAGCGAGCGTGCAGGGAGAAGCCCCCAGGTAAGTTTAACTGGGGCGTGTCCCTCTACAGGAGGAAGATATTTAAAAAGAGTCAGGGAACGACTTGTTGATCCTTTTTGGCTAGTTCTGAATAGTTTGAAATCTTTTGAATGTTCATCCTAAGCCCGCCGGTAGGAGGACATGCCCGACCTAAAACTAAGTGGGAGGGCAGGCAGACCAACCGACTGGTGGCGCACACACGCACCACCGCTCTCGAGGCAGAAAGAAATGCAGAAGCAGAAACTTCCGGAGGTCCGCGCGAGCTTCTTGGATCGGCGCTGGACTCCCCTCCTTAGCGCGCGGAGCGCACCAGGGGCGGCGCCGGAGGCGCCGCCAGGTGGGGGGGGGTCCAGCTCCGATCCAAGAAATTCGCGTGGACCTCCGAAAGCTTGCGCTGTTGTTCTTCCAGGGCTCTCGGCGTCAGCGGCGCACAGCTGTGCGTCCAGCGGCCGAGTGGCGTCACCACGGCGAGTGCAAAAACCGAAGCGCTCGAGCAGGTCCATTCCGCCAGACGTTGCAGGTGAGTTGAGTGCAGTGCGCTAGGCAAGGGTGCGTGCAAGAGCATTCTGGATCGGACGATAATCGCCCCCCCTTGGATCCGCGAGGAGTTTGGGCACGTGCTGTCGGAATGGGTGGAGGGAGGGTTGGAGAAGGAGCAGGAGGAGGAGGGGGAGGGGGAGGAGGAGGAGGAGGAGGAGGAGGAGGAGGAGGGAGGAGGAGGAGGAGGAGGAG